CCTATACTTTATACGTTATGAATCAATAAAAAGTTTCCAATTTTTAATTATAAACCTGTGTTTTCTATCAAAATTACTTCTTGCGTGAATTTTGGGACACCCTTATATCCATCTTGTGGTTATCTATAAAACTTTAATAAAAAAAAAAGGCAAAAATTGAATTAACTAAAAGCCACTCTATAATGCAATCTGACTTATATAACAGAGCTATAATAATCAAAACAACATGGTATTGGCAGAAAAACAGATACACAGATCAATGAACTATAATTGAGAGCCCAGATATAAACCCACATATATATGGACAGAAAATTGTTGACAAAGGAACCAGAAACACACACTAGAGTAAAGAAAGCCTCTTCGATAAATGGTGCTGGGAAAAATTGAAAAGCCACATGCAAAAGAATGAAACTGGATTATAGTTTGTTCCCATGTACAAAAATTAATTCAAAATGGATCAAAGACCTAAATATAAGACCTGAAACAATAAATTACATAGGAGAAAACATAGGTAGTAAACTTATGGACTTTGGTTGTAGAGAACATTTTATGCACTTGACCCCAAAGTCAAGGGAAATAAATGAATGAAACTATATCAAACTAAAAAGCTTCTGCACAGCAAAAGAAACCTACAACAAAACAAAGAGTCAGAAGACCAAATAGGGGATGATATTTGCAAGAGATAGCTCCAAAAAAGGTTTAATACCCAAAATATATAGAGAACTCATAAAACTCAACATCAAACAACCCAATCAAAAAATGGGTAGAGGACCTGAACAGACACCTCTCCCAAGAAGATATATAAACAGCCAACAGATACATGAAAAGATGTTCAACCTCACTAGCAATTAGGGAAATGCAAATCAAAGCTATAATGAGATACCACCTCACTCACACCTGACAGAATGATTATACCAACAAGACAAGTCATAAGGGTTGGAGAGGTTGTGTAGAAAAGGGAACCTCATTCACTGCTGGTGGAAGTGTAGACTGGTACATTCTACATTGGAATGGAAAACAGTCTTGTGACTCCTCAAAAGTGTCCTTCGATAGAGGATTGGATAAAGATGTGGTACAACCTGGCTGGTGAACACTGACTCAGGCACCAAGAGGTCACGGGTTCAATTCCTGCCTTGATCCCTGGTGGGGGGCATGCAGGAGGCAGCGGATTGATGAATCTCACTCATTGGTATTTATCTCTTGTTCCCTCTGCCTTCCTCTCTTTCTCAAATCAATAAAAAATAAAAAAAGATGTACGTATACACAATGGACTACTGCTCAGCCATAAGAAAACATGAAATACGCACATTTGTGACAACATGGATGGACCTTGAGAATATTATGCTTAGTGAAATAAGTCAGACAAAAAAAGCTAAGAACCATATGATTTCACTCATATGTGAAAATAAAACTGAACTTGTGAACACAAACAGCAGTGTGGTGGTTGCCAGAGAGAAGGGGTACGGGGTTAGGAATGAAGGGGGCCTAGTATAAGGTGACAGAAGATGATTTGACTTTGGGTGGTGGGCACACAGTGCAATATACAGCATCTTGTAACATAGAAACCCACACCGGAAACCTGTGATCCTATTAACCAATGTCACCCCAAAATTGTAATTTAGTAAAAAGTAATGTAATTTGACAAATATAAAACAACTGTGCTATGGATATGCTATAAAAATCAAACTGAATTGAAATTTAATATTCATATTTAATAAATATTAAATTGAAAAATTTCAATTGACATCATAAGCTATAGAATTGAGTTATGATAAAACTGATTCAAAGTATAGTCAGTCATTCCACATAAATAGAAAAGCAGGGGCTATTATATTCAAGTATTTACATAATTTAAGGAAGAAAGGAAAAAATGTAGTTGATGGCTTGAATACTAAAAGAATAGACCAAGCAAGCTGTAATGAGAATGGAATCCACAAACAGGAGTGCTTCAGACCAGTATTCTGAAAAAATGCTTTGGATTTCCTTATCACATTTCTTCTCACTTGTACTGCCTAAAAGTAGTATCAGACTGAAAGTTTCTACCATGTATGCGTAGCAACTGTGGTCCAAACAATTTATGGGGTGACAGAGAGCATAATCCCTTTATTATTATTGCATAGTAATGCAGTGTTTCCACAATGAACAAAAAACTCAAAACAATTAATTAAATACCTTCATACCAGCCTTTTCATTTTTATAGGCTTTAAAACCTGTTCCAAAGTTCCTGAGAAATCATGAACTTTAAAAAAATAATTTATTTGAAGAGGGAAGAGGAGTTGAAGTGAGAGATGGGATTTTTTTCAAGAATAAAATTTTAAAGCAAGATGTCCCAATGCCATTTTTACCACTTAATCTCTAAATGCCACAGATGCACCAGAGAACACAGAACTTACCAATCAAGCCCTTTTCTGTACTTGAAGTAACAGTTTTATAAACTGGGTCAGCGCCATCCTTGGGGTCCAAGCTTTCAGACAACTCAGCGGCAGTGTTCTCCAACACCCTCCGCTTAACTGTCCCATAGTTTGGTTCGTACGTGTCAGAAAGAGAACTGGAGGAGGCCCAACTCTGTCTCATCTGATTAGTCTCGAGGCTTCCTTTACACTGACCACAAGTTCTGGAGCAGCTTTTAGGACAGGAATAGGGCTCACAGTCAGTGGGTTCAACTTCAGCAATGGGGCCATCCAAATGGGTATGTCGATAGGAGTTCAAGAAATCCCAGCCTTTTGGGTTTGGAAGGCTTTGGAAGTTGTCATGGGAACTGCTTGAGCAGGAAGTCCAACTTCCACGACCACTATCGCCTGCTTCTATAATGATGTGCTCATGAGAAATCTCTTCATTGCTCATAGAAGATGAGACAGCTAAACTCTTGATTGGAGATGGCTTTGAGAGTGTCCACCTAAAATTGAAGATACAAGATTAAAAGTAATTTATTGGCTTATTGGAAAACCTTTCTTCTGTCCATTTCAAGTATTAAATGCATCCAAGGGACTACAGGGCATCCTATATAACAAAAGCCTAATATGCTAAGTGTCTGGTCGTCTGTTCAACCAATCAAAGCATAATATGCTAATGATGTGCTAAGGCTGCTCAACAGCTCACTATGATGTGTTGTGCACTGACCACCAGGGGGCAGACAGCTGGCTGGTCGACCAGTTGCTATGATATGTACTGACCACCAGGGGACAGACATTCCAATCGGTAGGTTATGTTGCTGCTGGGGTCCAGCCGATTGGGATTGAGTGAGAGGGGCCGGACATACCCTGGAGCCCTCCTGCGGTCCCTCCCTGGCCCCAATCGTGCACTGGTGGGGGTCCCTAGGCCTGGCCTGCGCCCTCTTGCAATCCGGGACCCCTTAGGGGATGTCGGAGAGCCAGTTTCAGCCCAATCCTGCATGCCAGGCTGAGGGACCCCACTGGTGCACGAATTTGTGCATGGGGCCTCTAGTGTATCATAAGAGTTCATGCCAAAATAACCTTGTGGAAAAAAATGACCCTATCATCAATCATCACTAAATTTCTATTGGCATTAATGTTAATACTTAGCTTAGAAACATACACTGAAGAAACACAATCACTTAGCAAGGTTTCCTCAGAATTTTTCTTGAGTTGAATTTAAACGAGAATGAAAAATGTGGCTAAAATGAATAAAATTAAGAATATATTTTCATTCTTGGTCAAAATAATGCTAGATTCTCTCTATGCATGCAGAAATAAGAGTTCCCAGCTACAGGAATGCACCTCTGAGGTTAGCTTATTTTTCAGTGTTCCTCTGAGGTCAGCTGAGTACAACATTAAGTAAATAGCAACTTTCCCAACTATCTACTACTAAATGAATTCTATTATTTACAGCAGGGGACCCCAATTTAAGGCTCACGGGCCAAATCCAGCCAACAGCCTCATTTTGTATGGTCTGGAACAAAGCATGGTTTTTACATTTTAAAGAGTTTAGATAAAACAAAATATTCTAAAGAATTTGAGACAAAGACCATATGCAGCCTGCAAAGCCTAACATATTTACTATCTAGCCTTTTCCAAAAAAAAAAAAAAAAAAAGTTTGTCAACCCCCGATTTATAGTATAAAGCAGGGGCCAGCAAACTAGGGCCCATGGCCAAATCCAGTCCTCTGCCAGTTTCTGTAAATAAAATTTTATTGGGACACAACGTGCCCATTTGTTTACATATTGTCTAAGGCTGTTCTGGCAAACAAGGTTGAGCAGTTGCAACAGACTTTATGGCCTGCAAAGCCTGAAATATTAAGTTTCATAAAAAGACTGACCTCTGGCCTAGAAAATCATAGTTTAGAGCCTTTACAAATATGATGATAATATACTACAGCTTACATTTTTCATATTAAAGTATACCAGATCTAACAATATTTACCAATTTAGAATCAACTTTCTCAAAAATTTCCATTTTGCTAGACTCCAATGAGAAATTTAAGAGTTAAACTCTTTTGGTAGCTGATAATCCTTATTCCTTAAATCATACTTTTAGAGAATAAGGATCAAGGACGCCCTACTGCCCCAAACTGGCTACAGTGTATACCGCACCGAGGTTCCTCCCACTACACAATCTTTTTGAACAATCTCTAACCTGAGAGCCAGAATGCAAAAACCACCTCCCCATATCAAAACAACTTCACTTTTCATTCTTAATGATTGAAAATGTGCATGTGATAGAAAGTTAACTTGAATTCAGTAACACTTAAGAAACGAGCACCCATCATAATTAAAAATAGTACTTATTTGCATATTCAGTATAGAGAATACAGGCTTGGCCTTCATATTCTTTTAGGGATCCTCTTGCAAACACTCCACGGGGTAGTTCTGGAGAATTATGCAGTGGCCATTGGCTTAAGTTTTGTGATATAAATATAGGCGAGGATGTTTACCCGGGGCCAAGCTGACCACGGTCTCCTGTCCCTGAGGAGTGCTCTGTCCTTTCCCACAGCCCGGTGGATTCAGGGGCTGCCGCGACCTGGGAGGAACACCGTTCATCCTGCAGAGCTGCAGACACGGAATCCACAGAACAATTGCTCACAATGCTGGACCGTGAAGAAATCTCACTGTGGCTGGAGTCAGACAAGTTGTCCAATTTAGCTGATGGTATAAGTGTGTAACCTGAATGAGAGAAGACAGTGATCAAACTACGAAGCTAGAAAACAGGTGGAGGAATATGCTTGGGAGAGGACATTCCCTTACATGTTCATTCGCTTACCTACCCACACCATTTCAATTCAATCCCAAATTCAAGAAACAAAAAAATAAAAGTCCATTATTACAGAGAAACTAGTCCAACTCTCTGCCCCAGGTTCTCACAGTTACAAGCGTTTAATAAAACAAGAGGCATTAAGTATGTTAGAAAGCATTAAACAGTAGACATCCAGAGGTTCTCAACTTCTTTTTAACTCTATGTCCCTGCCTTTGATTAACGTAAGTATTTCGTGGCCTGATCTGAGTGTCTATATGCCACCTTGAGGGAGGGGCAAGAGAGAGGAGTTAGGACTCAAGGGAAATATTTTTGCTTTTTCAAACTAGATATACTTACCCCAGATATTCTGTTTATGTCACCTAAGAAGTCTTGCCCCAAGTTGAAAGCCATTGTTTTAGTCTTTTTTTAAAAAATGGTTTTAGATTTAGATTTAATCTTATACATAGTTTTTTTTTTTAAATATATTTTATTGATTTTTTACAGAGAGGAAGGGAGAGAGATAGAGAGTTAGAAACATCGATGAGAGAGAAACATCGATCAGCTGCCTCCTGCATATCTCCCACTGGGGATGTGCCCGCAACCTAGGTACATGCCCTTGACCGGAATCGAACCTGGGACCCTTCAGTCCGCAAGCTGACGCTCTATCCACTGAGCCAAACCGGTTTCGGCCCTAGTTTTCTTTTTTTCACCAACTTTGCAGAATGTTACATCGAACAGTTGAACTGACATAAGAATGTGTTATGAAATAACACAGCATGTACCTGTTTTAAATTGTTTTAGGACTTACTGCACAGCAGATAGAGCTAGAGAGGCTTTCTTTTACATTCTTTGGAATAAAGGGCTGGAGATGGAGTGAGGTGGAAGGATCCCAGAACAAATCTGCAGCCTGACAGTTAAATGTACGTAAGAGTTGGTTTTCCTAAGTGTTAGAAAAGTAACCAAACTTCTTTTGCCTAAAAATAAAAGAATATGCTATAGTAATCCCAGCAAGGAGCAGGCCTCAAAGAAGCAAACCATTATCTCTTGTTCACTGAGAGAATGTGGTTCAATAGGTGTATAACCTTTGGTTCAATCCCTGGGAATCTCAAGAAATACAGGCTTTATCATCACATACATATAACTCAAGTCATTAAAAATGAGTTGAACAATAACCATATTAAGCAGTTTCATTGACTATTTCAAAGAGAAAAATTAAGACCCAGAAAATGTGTAATTTATATTTAGCTTATGGGGCCAGGCACAAGACAAGCCAGTCTCGATTCCTACCCCAGTTCTCTGATCTGGGATCACTGCTATTTATCAGTGCCCATCAGGAATTAACTGGTCAACTTTTAAGATGTGATAAATAAATTAAATTTAAACAAAATTAAATGAGATTCATAGATACAGAGAACAGACTGATGATTGCCAGAGGGGAAGAGGATTGGGGGGGCTGGGTGAAAAAGGTGAAGATATTAATAGATACAAATTTGTAGTCACAAAATAGTCACAGCATAGGGAATATAGTCACTAATATTGTAATAATTATGTACGGTGCCAGCTGGGTACAGGAAATATCGGGGAGGGGGGAACACTTTGTAAAGTATGAGACTGTCTAATCACTATGCTGTACACCTGAAACAAACACAAAATAATATTGAATGTAAACTGTAATAAAAAATAAAATTAAATTAAAAATTCTCAAAAGAAAAAAACAATCATTTCTCTTTTATCCTAGAGCCGTGGTTGGCAAACTGCGGCTCTCGAGCCACATGCAGCTCTTTGGCCCCTTGAGTGTAATGAGTTTGCCGACCACTGTCCTAGGGGATAGATTCCAGCCGTGGGCAAACGGATCCAGCCCGTTTGAAATGAATAAAACTAAAAAAAAAAGACCGTACCCTTTTATGTAATGATGTTTACTTTGAATTTATATTAGTTCACACAAACACTCCATCCATGCTTTTGTTCCGGCCCTCCCGTCCAGTTTAAGAACCCATTGTGGCCCTCGAGTCAAAAAGTTTGCCCACCCCTGGGATAGACTGACTTTACTATTTTAAAAATGTCATCCCTATGTTAATTAATTCAGTATTTTGTAAATATAATCAATTTTAACAATCACCTGGAAAGCTTATTAAACCACACATTCTTGGGCCCATTTCTAGCAATTCATATTTATGAGGTCTGTGGTGGAACAGAGTAACTATATTTTCTTACAAGTTTCCCAGATGATCTTGAACCTGCTATGTTAGAACATCTCTTCCTCCTCCTCTAATCAGAGATATATGAAAAGTGGATGACAAAAAACGTGTATATGGACAAGATGCAGTTTGTTGCCTCCCAAACACTTCCTTTTCCTTTAGCTTGTGAGTAGTTGCAGGAAGAAGATAGCAATAAAATTCTCTGAGGTTCTGTCTGATCAGATTATTATTGGGAGTTTTATTCTTTTTTTAAAAAAATAGGTGGTGTTTTTTTTTTTAATTTTTAGAGAGAGAGGAAGGGAGATAGAGACATCGTTGAAAGAACTTCATTGATAGGCTGCTTCCTCCACACCCCCTACTGGGGATCGAGCCTGAAAACCAGGCATGTGCCCTGACCGGGAAATGACCTGTGACCTTCTGGTTCATGGGTTGATGCTCAATCATTAAGCTACATCGGCCAGGCTATTGGGGTTTTGATGTGAAAGTAAATACTAGTTCCTAAAAAGCCTCCTCTACTTATTTTACTCACAGACCCAGCTGCTTCTGGTAGGAAATAAGCCAATTTCAGAATATAAGAATATCAAGTTTACTAACATTAATAATATAACATGTGAAAATAAGGCACTTTAATTCAATAGGACTTTGTTGCTAGAAGATCTGTAACACTAACATAAAATACTTATAAATAGTATTTTACTAAATTATTTGCCTAAGTTATATTTGACAAATAATTTAAACTCCATTTACATTAATAAATAAAAACAAATTTAACACTAAAATTAAATAAGGAACATCAGAGTGTCTTCCTCCTTTTAGACTTGAATCGCGTATAGAAGCAGTTTAAAGCGTTACTGTTGCCTCGGCTATTGGAATTGAAGATGTCACTCCCTTTCTCATCTTTGATGTTGCTTCCAACATCCTTCACTTTCTCAGAGCTTTCTGTAGCTTGATTGTGATCTGCGTCCTCTTTTTTGCTGTTGGCTAGTCTCTCCCTTGAAAGAGTTCTTTTCCTAAATCTTCTAAACGGGGATGTCATTCTTTTTCTGGCTGTGTTCTCACAACTTGTCCTGTCTCTATTCTCCTCAGTGGCCTTCTTGGTCCTGTCTGTTCTTTTGGCTGTGCTCCTGGTAATTTGAAGGATTTTCTTTTGCAAGTAAACCCCACCTATGCCGGGGTAGCTGCGGCCACTGATCTCGGTGCTGGACTCACTGGGAGGGGATGAGGTAGGCCCTGAGAGGTGCAGCAGGATGCTGTGGTCAGATATGATACTGCCAACTGGAGGGAGAGATGCAAAAACCCTGTCATGTCAATTAATTCTTTCCAATTAATCACAATTAGCCTGGTTTATATAACAGTTCACTATTAAAAATTCTAACATCCCACCCCGCCACCAAAGAAAAGAAAAAAAAAAAAGCTAACATCTCAGTAATATCTGAAAAATTGAAATCTAGCCACATATAAGTTAGTGCATGGAGAGCCTACTATATAGCATTACACAGCAGTCATCACAAGACAGAACACAGGATAAGGACTATCTTTATCAGAATAAGCTGGCAATGGAAGTAAGCAAAGCTGGTAAAATCATAAGCAAATATATTAAAAAAAGTATTTCTTAAAAGTAACTATCTCTAGAATATTCAGTCAGATTCTACTAAGAAAAACTTTAGCAAAATCAGATAGGACATAGAAATAGTATATACAATAAATGTTACAAAGCACAATTTCTGATCCTATTATATCTCCAAGGTGAAAGGTTGCCTTCTTTAAACACTGGGGAAGATAAAGGTTAAGGACTCTCAACTTCTCACTTTTTAAAAGTTCTTACTTGTTTATGGTGGGAGGATAGGTGAATAGGTGAAAGGGAATATAGTCAATAATATTGTGATAAGTTTGCCTGGCAACAGATGATTACTAAAATTAGGGGGCTGATCACATTGAAAGGTATGCAAATATCGAGTCACTGTACCACATACCTGAAACTAATATAATTTTGTATACCAAATATACTTAAATACAATTAAAAAAAAAAGAAAAAAAGTTCTTGTGTAATCTTTTTATAAAAAATATGAAGATAGGCTTATTTTCTTACTTGATAGAAAATAAAGAACTAATTCCAAAGTTTAGCAAGAACTAGGAACTAAAAAAAAAAAAAAAAAAAAAGAACTAGGAACTGATCCTAATAATATATGTTTAGTTTAGTAGCGTTTTTGTTCAGTCAAGACTACAGGCAAAAATCTGTCTATGGAAATATACAGAAATATTCCGTGGAGGTTTTAAAGGAATATATGTAAGAACAATTGGAAATCGTTTAAGAAAAAAATTTCTTCAGGTTCTTAAGGATTCTCAACACGACTATGACAGGCTCACAATAAACATCAGGGCTGCTTTTTGGTCACATGGGAAGACACATGGAGGAAAGACCTCTGTTCCAGTAGTGAGACTGAATTTTCAGTTGGGAGTAAGAGCAATAGGGAAATTCCTGTTCCTAATACCTCTCCCACAAGTCACACTGGTTAGAGAACTGTCTATAGCGGGACTTCTGAACACCGAAGTGGTTGAGGGTGTAACGGTGTTCCTGAAAGAGCACTGAGGCGTACGGGCACTGTTCACTGGACCATCTGTGTGACTGGCACTGCTCCCAGTCTCACTCCTCTAACCTAAAAGGACCACTGAGGCAGTAAAGCGATGAAGCAGACCCGTGAGCTTCACAAAATCATGTATGAGTTACACACAACAGGATCAGAAACTTGTTTTATTAATACACCTTTTATATATACTCTCTTATCTGATTTTTACAAAGCTTTTCTTAGTAAAATCCAAATGAAAATTCTGGCCAGTCTCAGCTATGTGAACGGGGGAAAGGGCAGGTGAGCTTTGGAGCTATGTTGCCCGTAGAAACAG